GGGGGCGGGGGGGGAAACTTCTTTTCCCTCCACTCACCCGTGGGCTCCCAGGTTGCAGCCGGAGTGCCAGGAGGAGGAGGAGGGCGGAGGGCGGATGCGCTGGTTGTCGTCCTGCATCTGCAGGCGGATGGGTCGCCGCAAGCCCCAGGAGATGTTCAGCAGCCCCTCCACGATGAGCTCACCTTCCTCCTGCGCGAGGGACGGGCAGCTCAATATCCGAAGTACAAATAGCGATCAATATTACTAAGAGGCATTTCTTTGGACCTCACGAGTCTGAATCAAACCCCATTTCCCTGTTTTTTTCTCCGCTGCCAGAGATAAGTTGGGTGCCTGCCCCGGGGGTTTCGTACCTCCCGATGCCGCAGCTGCAAATTTTGCCCTTCGTAGTAGATGTTGTACGTCTTCAAGTGTAAGAGCAGCTCATTTCTAGAAAAAAATGGGAAAGGTGCTGAGAAGAGATGCGGAGGAGTGAGGGGAGGACGTTGCAGGCACCACTCAGTACCTGGCGTGGTACCCCCTGAGCCGGCCGGGGGGAAATTCTGGGGAACTGGGAGAAAGCAGGAACCGCTTCCCGGGGCCAGGCTGGGCAATGAACCTGCTGTGCTACTGGGAGACCCAAAACAGCTTCATTTGGGGCAAATTTGGGTCTTTTGCTGCCTCTAGGCCTCCCTTGTTGAGGATATGTCCTGCAGGTTCAAGCAGGGGTTGCCCTTTGCAGCCACGAGTAGGGGCGACAAGCTCCCCTGCAACCGTGCCCTCCATAAGCCGTGCAAAAGGACCTAAGAAAATCCATCGGACCCTGGTGGAGTCGGTCACAAGACTGAAAACCAAGGAAATTTTCGGAGCACCCAAGCCCTTGGGTCATGTTGGAGTCACAAGGTATCACAGGCGAATTTATCACGTCAGCTCATCGCTCCGGCCCCTGACCTCGAGCTCAAATTAAAAGTCTGAGCCCTGCTCCAGTTGCAAATGAAAAATTAAAATAAAAATAAAAATAAATCAATCCAGGCTGTCTAAGCACAGCTATGAATCACGGGAAAGCGATGCCTCTGGCTTTAATTCATAAAGCTGTCATTAATTCAGCTGGCTGATTGAGTTTAAGGATGCTCGGCACCATCAGGCTAATATAAAGAAGCACGAATCACGGGGATTTGGCGTTATGAGAAAGAAAAAAGGGGAGGAAAAACTATCACGCATATGCTTTATCTCCTCCAAAATCTTCCTTGAAACTTAAGAATCCTTTTACTTCTTTACCGAAGCGTAAGAGAGCAATTACTAATCGGGACCTTTTTCAGCAAAACCTGTATTTCATGAAGGTTTATAGAGCATTTGGCCACACTCCTAAGAAAAAAATTTCAAAATCCCATCAACAACCCTTTTTTTTTTAAAGGCAGGTGCCTTTTCTTGCCCCAGAACAGCTTTTTCTTTCCAAATCCAACCGCATCGAGTTAAAACCCAGGGTCGCTCCCCTCCTCCCAGCTTAGAAGGCAAAAACCCCCGGGGGAATATTGCAAGTAACTCCCCAGCTACCAGCACCGACTGTATTTCTGCGTTACAGCCCCGCCGAGCATCTTACTTGGAGATGTATTTGTCTTTTCCGCAGGGGACCAGGTACTTGCGGCCGCCGTAATCCATCCTCCTGCTCTTCTTTCATGGGAGCTGAACTGCAAAGAGGGAGAGAAAAGCATCGGCGTGAACCGCCCCGTTATCGCATCCCTGATACGCGCCCCTGGATAGCGGGGGAAAAAATAAACTGGCTCGGATTTGGAAGAGCTCTTGGAAAAGGTTTCAGCGGATGCAGCCGCGGGTAAAGTTTGATGCGGCTCCTCCAGGAAAAACAATGGGGAGGGAGGGGAAATCAGATAAGGGGAGAAGCGTTGTAAACCCACTGAAAATTTAATACCAGCAGAGATACGCTTACGCTAACATTTGCATTTCGAGCATCCACGAACTGCCCCGGAGATGCCAGACCTGGAGGTGGAAGGGTTATAAGCAGGATTTGTTCTTTTTCTCCATTTATTTTATTAGGGTTTTGCTACAAAGCTTCGGACACGCCGGTCTGGATCCGGCTTGATGCTTCCTCGTGCCGTCCCCAAACCAGGCAGTAGGCACGAGGGCTGACTTTCGCAAGCAGCGAGAGACGCTGGGCTGGTTCCTTTATCTTTTTTTTACAATGCCAGTTAAATTTTTGTGCGTTCCCTCCAGTGCCAAAACGTCTCCATCGCTCTCGTGCAAACACTCGGAAACTTCCCCCAAAATCCCGCCTTTGGAGTGGCCTCGGCTTAAAGCACGAGAGTGATTTTTGGATGCTACGAAGAGGAATTAAAATGAGTTTTAGGGTGAAGCCCTCCGGGTCGCTCGCGGGCTCGGAGCACTTTGGAAATCAGGCACTGGAGAGACCCTGAAGTGCAACGTCGGGGTGGTTTTGCGCGATGAGAAAGGACTTCTCGGGATGCGCTTTTCCTTGGGTGTTTGTGCAAACCCTCCTACAGATGGGCTCTCATTTTTCCAGGGTCTCTCCCCTCCCTTCCCTTGTCCAGAAAGAGAAACCAAGGCGAGAAGAGAGCATTTGATCCACAAACCACTGTTTTCTTCCACCTCCCGCATCGCCATGTGCTTCCTCCCAATCCCCTGGGAAACAAACCCATTTTCCTGTCAAAAAAAAAAAATAGACCCACAATGAAATCCAGGCGGATAAATGACTCAACCAAGGCCGTGTGGTAAAACCTGTGTCGGAGGACGGACCTGCCCCTAAAACCTCAGCAAAGCGGCAATCCCCTCTTCTTACCCCGGATATATTCTAGCAAATAAATTATATGCAACAGCAAAAATATTCTGTGTCATGCTTCAAACCAGAGAAGAGGTTGCAAAAGCGAAGTCTGCCTTTAAGCAGGCAGAAACAGGCAGGGGAAGGGCAGGAAGCCGGCCCGGCCTCCGGGGCTCCAGCTCTGCCTGGAGAAAGCAGAAGAGAAACCCGCCACCCAAAAATCGCATGTTGCAACGGAAAAGCTGACAAAGCTTTGGGTTTCCTGACGAGCCGAGGAGCCGTGCGAGAGAGAAGAGGTTGCAAAAGCGAAGTCTGCCTTTAAGCAGGCAGAAACAGGCAGGGGAAGGGCAGGAAGCCGGCCCGGCCTCCGGGGCTCCAGCTCTGCCTGGAGAAAGCAGAAGAGAAACCCGCCACCCAAAAATCGCATGTTGCAACGGAAAAGCTGACAAAGCTTTGGGTTTCCTGACGAGCCGAGGAGCCGTGCGAGCACCCCGGCGAAGCCCGGCGTCAACCCCCCTCCCCTGCGGCCAGCAGCTGCCTCTCCCGCATCCATCCATCCTCCCACAGAGGATAAACCCAATAATAATCCTGTTTAGCCCTCAAAAACGATATCGGGAGGAGATTTTGCAGCCGGCTTTGTGGCTTCGGGATAAACGTCGGCGCGGCGGCCGCACGGCACCTGCCCCAGCGGGGACTCGAATTTGGGGGTTACCCAGCCCGCGGGCAGCTGCCAGATACGGGGACGGTAGAAATAAGCATCTGGCTTGTGGGTGTCCCCCGAAAGCGGATGAAAAAGCTCCGGAGAAGTCACCACTAAAGCATGGCTGCGCGGAGGGAGGGTGAAATGACAGGGCTGCTTGGCCCATGCAAAAACGTTGACAAATATCAAGGTGTGGCTGAAACCCACCCCCCCCCCCCCCCCCCCCGCACATTTCGCCTCCAGCAGCGCAGCCCGGGGTGGAGCCTTTGGCATCGCAGGGAGTTTCGCTCCGTGGCGTCACAGCCATACGAAGGGGTGAAGCCAAAGCCCCGATTCCCTCGAAGGGGACATTGGCATGAACTCCAGCCGAAAAAAACACTCATTTAGGGACAGAAGGGGAGCCCTGAAATGCAGGTTCATCCCTCTGTACCGAGGAGCCTGGTTTCCTGTTTACCGTCCCGGCACTGCCACCTTCGTCTCCGTCATCACATCCCCTTCCGAGCAAGCAAGGAAAGGGGCAAATTCTTCCTTTTTTGGGTCTCGAGAGCGCCAGGCTGCGGGTGGAAGGGAGCGGCAGCCGCCCAGAGATCCCCAAACGGAGACCTGCCGCCACCCCAGCGATTGGGTGGGGGTGGCTTTGGTGAAAGCCTGGGAAATTGTCTGCTATGGCTTTGGTGAAAGGCTGGAAATTGCCAAAATAAAAGGGCTGGCAACGTGCAAATTGCCCAGTTGGTTGCTCAACCTCGGCAGCTCAGTGTCGTCATGATTTCCCGGCACCCCCTGTGCCTCAGTTTCCCCATTCTGAGCTGACGTATTTCCTTCACGCCCGGCGCGGGCTGAGGGTTCGCTGCTGTCTTGCAAAGCGCTTTTAAAAAATCATCAGATCAAATCAATTCCCCCTGCACACGTGGCAGGAGGATTTCAGCCCTCTCTGCCCCTCCCTCCCACCCCGAGCCATTGGCTGCTCCCGCAGCCACTTTCAGGTCTGACGGAGCCCAGACTTATTCCCCTCCCTAAAAATAACCTTCCTAAGACCCTTTCCCTGGATCCCTGCAGCCCCATCCGCCCTGCGGTGCAGAGGGAGCCTGGCCACGCTCGCAGCCCTTCGCATGGGGCGGGGACGAGTGCGCAGCTCAAATACAACAACAAAAACAGACAAAAAATAGAAAAAACCCCCAAAGATCATGTTTTCATCAGGGGAGGGGTGGTATTGCCTGCTCCTGCAAAGAAAGGAGTGTTTTTCAGGGGGGGGGTTTGCTTTCTCGGTCCCCTCTTGCGGCACGCGGATGCTTCGGCAGCATCTCCACTGCCATTTCGGCATCTCCCCGCTCGGGCGGGAGACGTGGTTTTGGCGCAGCTGATGCTTCCCCCAGGCCGTGTGAGGGATTGTGGGAATATCCCGCTCCCCGGGGAGGCCGCGATGCTCCCTCCTGCACAAACCCCGCCGCTTCCCTGCAGCCCAGGGTGGCTTTTAACCAGCCCAACGGTGCATCGATCCCGATGCAATCGGTAGCAAAGCATCATCTGGAGGCGATAATTCCTCCCTCGTAGGCACCGAGAGCCTCTAAAAGCTGCTTTGCTCAGCGGTGGGATATGACCGAGCGCTCTCACCCCGTCCCGGCAGATGCTTTGCTTGACCGACGGTGCTTGCGAGACGCCTCCCGCGAGCCGGTGCAGCGGTGGCTCTGGCCCAGGCGCTATTTTGGAGCCGGGATTTCTTCCGAGCGTCCGTCCGGCGTCCCTAAGCGCGAAGGTGCGGCAGTTCCATTGTTTTCCAGTGCCGCTATTGTTCACCAGCCCAACTGCTCAGCCTCGTCCTGCAAAGGGGAAAGGAGGGGAGCAGTGAGCGGTGGCAGAGCTGCCGGCGGGCGATGCCATTGGGGTGCCGGGTCGCTTGGTGACAAGTGAGGGGACCCATTGGCCACACTCAGCAGGTCAGACACCCC